TTGCAGGAGATGCTGGCGGAGCGGCCGAAGCGAGTCCCACGGGAAGGAGAGAGACGCAGCGATGCGAGGTGGGTGGAGGGAACCGGGCGGCCCCGTGGAGCGCCGCGACGTGCGGCGGGATGGAGCCGTGTGCTGAGGGGTAGGTGCATCCTCACTGCCCGTGGGGGTCAGGGCTTGGCTGAGCTGGTGGTTCGGTTTTTTTGCTGATTTGCAGAAGGTTCCTCGGCGTGTTTGCTCCTCAGCCCGCTTCCCCAGGGCGCCCTGGATGTTTTTGCGGGATCAGAAGCCAGTTGGTAGCAATGGCAGAACTGGTTTTTGGGGTTTTGTTGTTTTTTTTTTCTTGAGTCTCTGATGAGTTTGTGCAGTTCCAGGCATGGGCACGGAGAATGGGGAGACATTGAAAGGGGTGGCAAGGGTGTTGCTCTGCTGGGGAAGGGAGAGCCATGCACTTAAGGCTTCATAGCACATCCCAAGGGATGGGTTAGTGAGGACGTGGGGACAGGACACCCGTGCGCAGGCAGCTTTCTGCCTCCCAGGGTCAGGATGGCACAGGAGGAGGTGGCCGGCCAGCCCAGTCCCACACTGGGGACACTGGAGCCAGCCCTTCCTGTGGTTTATAGGAGAGCGTCGCGGCCAGTTTTGTCCTTGGCAGCAGATATGCCTCTGCCAGGGGAAAAGATGGTGGGGCTCTTGGTGCAGGTCTTAGGACTGCCAGCTGGGGATGGCCACCTGTAGTAGAGCAAGCCTGGCAGGAGAAGCAGCACCCAGATGCTTGGGGGCATGGGGAAGGATCCAACCCGGCACCCAAGGATGGGTATGGGGGTACCAGGGCTGTCTCCCTCACCTCCTCCTTTTAATGTCAAATTTTTTGGTGCTGTAGGTGTCTGGTGGCAGGGTTTGAGGGACGAAGGACAAGTTAAAGAGGGAGAGGCTGGTTGACGGCTGCATTTATGTATGAATTTATTGACATATGTCTTGGTGGGAGGGGGAGGGATGGATGTCATGGCCTGAAATACACTCGCCGTCCCTCTTAACAGCTGAGGTCCTTGTCCACTTAGTTAAGTGTTGCCAAGGGCCATGGGGGAAACCCCCTCCTTGACTGGGGGAGGGAGCCTGCGGGCACCCCGCAGCCAGGCTCGCGGCAGGGAGGGGCTGCGTCGGGACACGCCATGGGCCGGGTGTCCGTCGGGGTTTCTCTCCAGTGGCGATGTCACCCTGTTGATGGTGGGACATGTAAGGGTTGCATGCAAGAGGCAAGCATCCCTTTGTGGCACCTCTAGTTATATTGCACCAATATATGCTCCCCAAAGGGTTTTCTTTTGGAAGAGGCTCAAAACAGAGGGTTTCCCTCAACGGGTGCCCACACCACTCACCTTGCCGCAGGGGACATCGGGGAAAGTTTCTCATCTGGGGCACCGGCACGGATGCAAAAGGGAGCGTGCAGGTTTGGCTGTTGCTCATCCGTGCTCGAGGTTGGGAGGCTGCCAGAGAGCCACAGGGGCTGTGGTGGTTGGGGAGCCCGGGACAGCTCTCCCCTCCTGGACCCCTGTCCCAGAGAGGCCGGTGAGTTTTGGGAAGCGCTTACCTTTCTGCTGGGGTCACCTGAGGGGGAGAGCAGAGATGTTCCTGATGTTGCGGTTGCTTGTAGCGGTGCTGGGATGGAGCGGTTTGCTCGGCTGCCTG